AGATTTGGGTTCATTTCATGAATTCATTTTTTTCGACTCCGGCAAGTGTGGTGTGGAGTTTACGGTCCGCTTGTCACAGCAAATGTTTTGGGTTCGAATCTGAGCAGGACTAGTTTTTTTTTATTCAATGGGGAAATGTTCCGGTTCAAATTGTCGGCTTTTTTTATCTGCTACTGTTTTGTCAGATAAGTTGCCACATCTTAGAACTGTTTTTTTTTGTTATACGCAATTTACATTAATTTTGCTCTTAGAAATTTGATTTACTTCTGCTGTTTGTAATTTCTTGATTTCGTAAATTTTTTTGATTTGTTTTCGCTCACAATTTTTTTGCCTAAATGATTTCGGCTTATATTTTATCGGCTCAGTGACCGAATTATGAGTCGTTTCAAGTAAAATGTAGTTTTTATGCTCACCCTTGGATCACACAAATTGTTAAATTGTTTTCATGACTATAGTTTCGGCTTTTGTTTTTTTATTATGTTTCTTTTTTTTCGGTTTGATTGGTTTCGGCCTGTATTGTATCGGCTTAAAACCTCATACTGCGTGGTTTGACGAGCGAAAAAGTTGTGTTTGTTGTTGTGTTTTGAGCTATAGGGGAGTTTTATGTGGCCTCATAATGTTTCATTTGACGAGAAAATAATGTTTTGTGTTTGTTTTGAGGGCGAGGGGTACTTGTTAATTTTTTATAAGTGTTAAATTGTGCTGATTTTTTTGGCTTGAAAGGTTTCTTCTAAGCTATTTTCGACTTTGCTACCACTTGGTAAATTTTCTTTCGATGCTTACTTTACATTCTATTGTTTTTCAAAACTAGCCTGATTTATTTTGATAGATCTAAATTTTTTGACGTTATCATTTTTTTCCGTTTTAACGGCTTTCTTATACTGTATCGCAAGTTGTGCGAAGCTCAGATACGCCTCTGTGTTTATCATTAACTTGTACGTCGTTCGAATATTTGAACAGCTCTCATGAAAAAGCGTTTTCTTATAATAATGGTTAAACGCCGCTATATGAAGACGAGCGTCTTATTTCGACGATGTTCAGTTACTGATGATTTGAACCTTGTGTTTGCAAAAGATTTTTCATTACAAAATACAACCGGTGAATAAATTGATAAGTTAGACTTATTTGTTGGCATTATGAAATTCGAGTTGAACCGTAATACTGCTCAAAATTACTAAGTTTGATTAAGCAGCGCTCCTTCAGAGAAGCTATTCAGGTTATTCACTCGTTCATCAAATAAATAGATGTCCATCTCTGATCCTAACTCCTTGCATTCAGAATTGGTTTTTGCTCTACATAAGTTTTAAGCACCGTTTTTGTTTGAGCAATTTTGTTCACCTGAAATGTACAAGTTTGTCATAATTCTCAAGTGGTTGGCCTGTATTTGCTGTTTGGTTGTGTTGACATTCGATGAGCGAATGAAATATCCCGAGAAGGAACCATTGTATTGTCCCTTCGTTTGTAGAACTTTGTATAATATTGGTGTTGTTCTGATGGTCGTGTTCTAAGATGCTTTCTCACTAGTGACTCTCTTTACTTGCTCTGATATTGTTTTCGTTTCTTAAAGATACAGTTCATTTCGAACTTGCCCGAGAATTTCGTTTTTGTAGCGGTTATTAGTTCTTTCACAATTCGTCATCTGTGAGCATTATCCCAATATCCGGAATTTTGTTTTCAATAGTTTTTAGTTTTTTGCAGACTTGTTCATGTCGGGATCTTCGTCGGTACGATTGAGCAATATTTTCTAGCAATAGGCGTCTGTTCTTGATAGCTGAAATATTTCGCAAAGTTTTTGAGGCTTTTACACTTGGTAGCGTAGTGTATTAATACGATTCTTCTTTTTCCCAACCTAACTCGCGGAGGCGGAGCAATAAGCAGAACGGTCCAAGTGCAGAATGGGTCCAAGAGCAGAAAAACAGAAGAATATTGACTTATAATCGTTTGTACGGGCTAATTGATAAAACCATTATTAGAATTGTCAAAAAATACCAAGAAAATGACTAAATTATGCATGAATTGACTAATTTCAATAAGTTTTTTTGATTAGATTTTTTTTTATTCTTGGTTATATTGCTCAAATTATGCATAAAATGTTCGTTGCTTTGATATTATTGAAATTTCTGATAATTACTTTTTTCTGTTCTGATATTTTTCTGTTTTTCTGCTCTTGGACCCATTCTGCTTTTTGACTGGCCACCCTAACTCGCGAATATAAAAGTTCATTAAAAGTGTTCACTTATTTGGTGGCTTTTTTGCTATAATCACAATCTCTAGCATTGGAAATTTCATAGCATCTGTTCTCTGCTTTGTTTGTGGCTAGTGGTTTGTGATTTATTAAGCGAACGTGGCTGAGTGGTTAGTGCGTGAGATAACCTCTAGGTCGGTGATCGAATCCGAGACGTTGCCGAATTTTTTCTAATTCGAAGCTTCTTTCTTCTTTTTCTGTTTGCACTTTAAAGAGCCGTTTTTTGGCGTTGCTTGTGTTTGCAAAGCGCAGCTTCACTGTTTCAGTTTGCTGTCTTAATATTTTGTGCTTAATGCACTTGTCTAGGATGCTCAACGTGTAAGCACTTCTTATTTGAGCGCAGCGAGATAATCGAATTTCTTATGCTTTCAATTAATCAATCTGAATTGAATTGAGGGAACTTCAATAGTTCCCTACTAGAATTGAATGGTATTTTTCAATATTCGATGTTGCGGCATTTGAAAGGGTGTGTTTTGGTTTTACTTTTGTTTGCCCGCGCAAGATCAGGTGCCACAGAAATAATCAGTATAGACTGGGTGATATAAAGTCGAGAAAAACCGTGTTGGTATCGAGAAAAACCGGGTTGGTAGAAAGTGTCGAGAAAAACCGGATTGGTATTTTGCTTTTTATTTCACTTTCGATCAATTTTCAGTCTAGTTCCATTTTTCGGCATATTTTAGGGGTATTTTGCTTTTTAATTTAATTTCGAGCAATTTTTAGTCTAATTTCCGTTTTGAGGCTTTTTTTGGCATATTGTAATCAGAAGAAACGATGAAGTAAGCCGAATAGCTTAAACGCAATTTTCTCACTGAATGCAATTTTATTGAAAATAAGACGAGAATTAACAATAAAATACGCAACTTTTTGAGGTCAATGTTGCATCACAGTATATCAAAATGAGCTTTTTTTTTTAGCTCAACAAAATTTTAAAAGGCTTGAACTACTTGAGGCCCGCGAGAACATTTTAAGTTTTCTTTGAGTTTAAAATCAATTTGGTCAAATTGTCTTTGCAAGTCTTGCTGTTTTAAAAACCTAGGAAAGACGCAAGGTTTCAGCCAGTGGCTCTAAATTGGTCTGAAAACTGAGAAAATGCAGGCCAGTTGTCCTCGAATATATGGAAGGCATTTTTCCTCAGTTTTTATTAATTCAAAATTTGTCCAATAGGGCTTGAATATGAAAAAAACATATCACACCTCACAGGTTTTGCTTGAATCAAAAATCGGACGAATAATTTTTATTCCGTCAAAGATCTTTCCAGTCAGTTTGTGACGTTGTGGGAACAAAAAGTGTCAATAAACGAAGTGAATTTGGTTTTATCGCGGTGTCACTTTGGTTTCTCGCGAGTTCAATTCAAATTCCTTTGGTAAAAGGAAGACAAATTACCATCTCCAATTACGAAACTGCTCATGGCGCAGAAATATTTGAATGACGTTCAGGTTTGAAAGTGGGTTTTAGATTTCACAGGGGAATAATAAAAAATACTTATTGGCTAGTTTTCTCTAACTGGGTTAGTTTATGAAAAAAAGTGTCAATCATGAAAAGTTTGTGGAATCAAAGAGCTTTACCATGATGTATTTTTTTTCGAACGTAATAATTTTCTATTTCCTTGAGCTTGACTTTTTTCCAAATTTCTGCTGGCTATGCTTCTACGAAGTTTCAGATACTATAGTACTCTTAGTCTTTGATGGGCGAATTAAGACATTCATTACAATATACGTCGTGATTGTGTTCAGTTCCATTTTTATAAAACTTGGTAGGCCGAAAAGGACTCACTTTCAAGGCGAAAGTTTTTCTACAAATTTAGCAAAACAAATTACACAGTATCAAATTTGGAAAAGTTTGAACCCTTTCTATTCATTCTGTTTTGTCTGAACTGCCTTCAGTTCAAAATCTTTTTGACTGAACATTTTCAAACAGCGCTGTATTACATGGCTTCTTTTTGGCTGTACATTTCATGGCTGTACAGTTCGATTACATTCTAATTCGCTTGTGAAGCCCGAATTAAACTTGGCTCACTTTAACCACTAGTTCTTTCATTCAGAAAATATCAGTAGACTAAACCCAGAATGTTTGATTTACCTTTTGATACTCGAATGTCTGCAGCTGGTCAGCAAGTTTTGAAACACTACTTAAGAAGATGACTGAGCCTACTCAACCTCACCACAATCTATTCATCTCCAAACCCACTCTTACGCTTGAGTGTGCTACAGCATGGTCGTTTGCGGCTCATGTGACATGATTAGATTGTTTTGTTTTAAGCGCGCGCAAGTTTCGTATGATTTGACCTAAAGCATGCATTTGATTGAAACATTTGGTCTATTATAATGCTTTTTGAATTTCCTTGGTAAGATTTTCTGTTCTTAAGCGAGAACAGTTTCCATGCTATCAATTGAAGAAATAGATCAACGTTTGACTCATTTGGTGTAGAGTTTGGATAGCGCGTTCCTTATTATAGCTGGTAACTCCATGGTATGGTAAGGGGGGGTCCGTATGATGTGAGAACTTGAAGTTACGATTGAGAGCTCGATACGTTGGGTATCGCAGGCAACGTTTTCGCTGATTGAAAGCTGATGGCTCAACCAGTCCAAAAAGAGAAAACTCAACGCTGAATTGAAGAGCCAGCTGCCACAATTGAGACGGGAAAGGAGATGGAACTGACAATTCTTTTATAAAACTAAATTTTGCGATATAATGATAATTGAACTGACATAATGATAATTTCCCAGATTTAATAAAAAGATTTTACTCGTTATAGATGGGAGTAAAAGGCGAAGTTTACTAGGACAACGTCTGAACAATATCTCCAACGAAAGCCAGCTGCAATCTCGGTTCTCGCCCACGCACGACTTACATTCTGCAGGGGACAGTGACCGTACTCGAGATTCGGGACAGCTAAACAACCAGACACACAACAACAATGAGCTACCCCCTCATTTGCAACAAAGGAACTCTGCCCTCTCCTCGCCCCGTGTTAGAACGGTGGCATCGCCACGCCCAATGCAAAATGGGGACGCTCCATCGGCGTTGTCTCCGATGTCACCACTGTCACCTCTCGCACGGGATCCCAGCATACCTCGTGACAACACGTCGTCTTCAAACGACTTCGCCGCCTTTGCACAGAACCAACAGAGTGACGTAATGAATCAGCAGCAGTTAAGAACTAGCCGACAGTCGCCGATTGTGACGTCATCGAACAATAGTCTGCAGAGACAGCAATTGACCCAGGAGGCTTTGAGGTCAAGTCTGGGTGGTGGAGGTCAAGGTCAGATGGGAGGTGGCAGACCGAGGAGAGATAGTGACAATAGTTCTTCACTGGCCATTGCGCCGACTACGCTTTCACAGACGGCTGCCGATGATGATGCAAAGAGAAGGGTGAGTCATTGTTATTTTTGTTTTCACGCCTTCTTAACAGTTTGCACAATAGGTCAGCTCAATATCTACCCCTTCAAGAGGGATTTTAACTTTTTGGGGTATGTTTACTTACTTCTTTATATTGTAGAGAGTTGCCAATAGTTGAAACTGACATAATTAATTGAAAAGAGAAATTAATTGTTTCAGAAATTATTTGCATGCAACAGTTAATTTTTCGGACAAAGCATGTCTCTAAGACACTTGAAACTTCAAATTTCATTAATTTTGTCTGTTCTAACTTTTTGCTACTCAATACACAAGCCAGCTAGAGAGCGTAATGTTGTATTACGAGTCCCCATTTTTTTCTAATCTAACTAGCAAATATCAGTACTCATTGGGTGCCGCATCTGCTGCATAGCATTGTCAATATAATAGTATGTTTTAATTACTCCTGTCAGAGACCGTGGTAGTGATGTGAGGACGTGGCGGGGGGGGGGGGATTAGCGATTGATCCAGTTAGTTTTATCACATTGGAATAGCTTTAACAAGAAGTTGTCAATCATAGAAGATTTTGATACCCCAGGAGCTTTAGGGTGATATGGTTTTTCTCTTTCAAACTCTAATGTTTGATTTTTTTTTTCAGAAAACCAGTGTTTTTGTCTACTTGAGTTTCCAACTGTCTGTTGGCTATATTTTGACTTTCTAGATACATAGCAAGCATCGATTAAGCTGAATAACTGCATCAAGAACAATATGCTCGCAGGTCACCCCAGCGAATAATGTCATATTGAACTATTTATTAAGTGACAACCGTACATAGTTATCGGGCTATCGCTGAAAAGCCATTTCAAAAGGAAAAAAGTCTTTTCTTTTCTTTACAAGAAACTATATGGGCGGACTGTAACATGCTTTTAAACCAGTTGAAAAAACCGGGCTCGCGTGTGTTCAGTTAAAAAGGAGTATAGTAGTATTGATTGCACAAGTAAAGAATGTTGAGTTTCTTGATCATGCTTTGCTTAATAAGTCTGAAAAATCAAACATAATTAGACCTTATCGAATTTTTGCTGGAATCCGAAGCGTAACTAAAAACGCTTCAAAATGATATCATTATCGCGTTTACTTTAAAAAATATCGCCCTGACCCATATTTCCAGCTCACTCTTTCGAGAATGGTCGAAACAATTATCGGGCAGTCACATATGGCCCTAAAGTATCTGGAGCCGTTGTGATCTTCTGTTATGATATGAGGGTTTATGTGAACGAAAACTTTTCTGTGGTGATTCTTGATTCGCTTCAAAGTTGGAGTTCCTGAAGCTAAAACTATTCCAATTAGTTTTCAAGTTATTCCCTCTGGAAAGAAAACCTTGCACTTGTGGATTTTGTTGGACACATTAATTCCCCAGGCTATTTGTAACTCTTGCGATTAAACAGTTCAAATATCCATATTGGATTGGTTCAAAGTGCCGATGTCAGAGAAGCCGAAAATTATTCAATGTATGTTGATTCAACAGTAGAGAAGTCTAGCTTTAAAAGAAATTGTTAATTGCGACTCTAATCACGAGTCTTAAAGTATAGTTTTGGATAATCTTGGACTGAAACTCTTCGATACCGAACTTAAGTAAATAGAAATGACTTTCATTTCCGTATGTTCCGGCAACAAGTGTGCCGCTTGAATAATGATAAGATACTGTAAACAGAGATATTCACGTTTAATCTGCCGAGCTGGTTGGCAGGTTATTGATCTGCGTTACCAACTTAGTACTGCTGTCGAACTGGGTTAATGCGTGTTCCATACAGAAATTAGGAAAATAAAAACCGTTGCGTTGATTTCATAACTGTTATTTGAACTGTTATTTGCCATGTTCTAAAGTTCCCCGTTTTACATGTTCTGAAGATTTGGAGCCCCTCTCATGCGGAATGCACAAGGGGCTGTTTGGTCGGAGTACCTAATTATTTTCAAAATGAATGTCTAAATGTTGTGTAAGTTTGGATATCGAAAGCTTTTTTTAGTTTAGCCACCGGAAATTCCACTTCCATGTTATAATGAGCAATAACCAATAAAAATTTGTTTCCAGTGTTCTGATTGTATAATTGTTTTTAATTTTTGCATGCAGAATTCGTAAAGGTGGGGCGATAACAATTATATAGTTGCCTCAAAGCAAAATTGGATAAACATGGATAATTGAAAAGCAAAATTTAGTTATCTTTTTTTTGGAACCAGGTTTTGAAATGCTCGAAAGGCTTTTGTGGTGATTGTATCCATTTATGTCATTGATTGATTTGTAAAGCTTGTCCGGAGATTTTCTGCTTAGAAGCCAAAAGGGGCGAAATTTGGTTCATCCACCATAATGCACTGTGTATTTTTTCATCATGCTGCTACACTATTGCCTAAAGCGTCAAGAGAATTTTTACGGCCATGATTTACGAGGCATAAAATATATGATGAAATACAATTGTTTTCATGCACGAATTCTATCGCAATTTTCCATCAGGCAGGATAAGGTAACAAGTTTGAGTTCCTTTCGGTTCAAAACGAGCTGTTTCTGATACAAGACGTTCAAATGAAACCATTCCTTGTTTTGTCGTATTTTTAGGGGCAGCTCTTTCAGAGCAATGAAAAACAAAAAGCCTTTTGGTGTTCTTCCAAGATGAAATCTTTTTATTGTTATGAGTTGTGTAAAAAATAATCGAGCTTGTTCCCTTCTTGAAATGATTATTATCTCTAAATAGATATTGATTCTTCAATGTGTTTCTTGTCTTTGTAGTCAACATGAATAAAAAAAACCTGCGAATGCAAGTGTCTTATCGTGATTGGCAACAATGATTTTTATACAGCTGATTCCTGCAATTTATGGGTTAGAGCTTCCATTAGTGCAAAAAAAACGACTGCTATCATATTTTTTTTCTTATTTCCCTGCTGATTTGGACAAATTTTTTTGTATACTATTTAAATTGCGTCCACTCTAAAAATCGAGGCCTGTTAGTTGGTTTTTTTAAAATTGACTGGTAGTGCTAATGCGTAATAATAGACTTGCGTAACTTGGCAATTATGTAGACTCATAATTGGCGTGCGTCACTTGAGAAATTTTGTAGATTCAAACTTATACTCATTCATTTTTTCCCAGTATCGGTCATATTTTTGCTTGTGTATGCGAAGTGAAACTTGGCCTCTGTGTAAAATTTGTTCAGTGCATTTGTTTTGTCATTGTAAAATTTATGAAAAGTGCCTCACATTCAAATCAGTCAAGAAGATCAGTCAGATCAATAAATATCATCTTGACTGATTCACTTTCTCAAGCTCCGTCAATTTTTTCTCTTTAAAACAAAATTCGCCAAGGTTGGAAAATTTCAAAAAGTTGTACCCCCTATGAAAACCAAACGAAGATCTCAAATCTTCAGACTCGTACCACCCAGTGTCGGTTTTGAGACCAGCTGTCAACATTTTGGAATTTTCCCACCCTTTTCGCCCTTGATTCATCCCACCCTTACAATTTCTATCCAAAGCCGATCAGCAACCTGGCTTTTGTCCGATGCATTCAACAACTACATCTTTTTTCATTTTTGATTGTTTTTATCAGCGACGGTTTTAACCAAGAAAGGCTTACAAATAGTTCAGTCTTAGCCGCTATTGATTTATCAAAAGAATTTGACATATTGAACTATCGTACATTCCTGGATCTTCTTCATGGCATATAGCGGACCAGAAAGCTAATTAAAAGGTTGTCGAACTACCTGAGTGGGCCTCAATGAAAAACAATGCTCACTATATTGTTCACTATTTTCACTATATTGTGCTGTTCCACATTCGATCCGAATGTGAAATTGAACATCGCTAGGCAGTCCCTCGAGAAGCATCTCAAAATATTTGGTGTCTTCATTGACGCCTCCCTAATTTTCGCTGAACATTGAAACCGAACATCCGCTAAAGCCGCGCGTAGGATATCGATCTTAAAGGCTTCATCTGGTACTTCTTGGGGACAGTCCAAGGAAAGTTTACTGTTCACTTTTAAACTTTGGTTTCAAGACCATCAAAAACCAATTTCAAATTACGCGAGCCCTGCCTGGTCCCACGAGTAAAATATCTTTAACAAACTGAAAATAGATCAAAAGGCTGCTTTCTGTATGATAACGATGCACAAAAATGAGCGCTGTAAAAAAAATTATTCAAATTGTAAATTTTTTATATGGATCACCACCATCTAAAATTGATACTATCCTGTCCGAAACTAATACCCTATGCCATTCTTAAATTATAGTGAACGAAGTTTTTTCTTCAACAATTTTAAATAGCCTCAAACGCAAATAAACTTTTGTAGCAGGCTATACAGACGCACCACCCCTGAAATCTTACCACTGAAGAATTCCTCCCCGTTCCACTACGAGAACCCTTTCGATTTTGCTCGTTTTGTGAATCTTTTTGACTTTTCTCGAAAACTAACCTCTCAAATCTGATATTGTGAGTTCAATGGAGATTACGGGAAAGTAGAAATTCCCCTGCATCACCGAGTTTTCACAAAGTTTTTGGCACCAAAATTTATCACCTTCGGAAATGTCAAATTTTTGATTTTTTGACCGTTTTTCAAACTTTTCTCGAGAACTACCCTCCCAAATCTAAGTTTTTGGGTTCAATCGAAACTGCAGCTTGCGTGGATCGCTTCTGCATAATCTGCTACACTTTTTTTTACACAAAAATCTATGGTTCTCGAAAACGTCAAACTTTTGATTTTTGACCGTTTTTTGGACTTTTCTCGGTTGAATAGGTTTAGTCGAAACAATAGGTTGTTGAAAGCTTACTTTTATAATTGTCTATGTGCAGTTTGCTCAAGATAAAAGTCCTCAAAGCTGAGTTTTTGGGTTCCATCGAAATTAAAGGCTGCATGAATCTCTTCTGCATAAGCGGCTAGGCCCTATTTTTTCACACAAAAGGCTTTGATTCTCGGAAATTTCCATTTTTTGATTTGTTGGCCGTTTTTTGGACTTTTATCGCTAACTGTTCTGACAAATCTGATATTATAGGTTTAATAGAAACAACAGGTTGTTGAAAGCCTGCCTTTGTAATGGTCTATGCGCAGTTTGTTTAAGAAAAAAGTAGCGGCCTTCAAACAAGTCAAAGTTTTGAAACTGACAGTTTGTTTTGTACACTTTGACTTTACGCGAAAACGACCGTGCAAATTCTCAGGTTGTCTTTGAGAGGTTAATTCAAGAAACCCAGTTTTGGGATTTTTCTCTGATTAAGCGACCACAACCTGCTTTTTACAGAAAAAATTTATGGATTTTGGAAAATCTTTTGACACTTTTTTAAAACTGTTGACCGTTTTTTCGAATTTTTTTGTTTTCTTTTTAAATTTACGAAATCAAATCTGAGATGAAAAGTTCAATTGAATGAACTGGTTGCAATAATTGTTCCAGAAGTAGCGCTGGTTCCTTCATTTTTTGCAAGAGAAAGGTTATCTTGGGAAAATTGATTATCTCAAAATTTTTTTTATTCTTTTCACTTATTTTAGTAGAGAAACAACTAAGGTTTTGGGCTGAGTCCAATTTTTGAAATCACATGGATCGTACCGGATCAGTGTAGCAAGTTCATTCAATACTTAGCTTGTACCTCCATTTTTAAATGGGTCCCTAGTTGTTTTTGATCGAGATACATTAAAATTTTGATTCGCCCAGTCTGAACATTCAAAAAAAAAACCTTTTATGATCGTATTGTATCGTTTTTATGTTTCTGTTGTACTGTTTTTTATGTTTGTGTATATTGCAAGTGGTAGAAACAACAGATTGTTGAAAGCCTGCCTTTGTAATTGTCTATGCGCAGTTTGTTTAAGAAAAAAGTAGCGGCCTTCAAACAAGTCAAAGTTTTGAAACTGACAGTTTTTTTTGTACACTTTGACTTTACGCGAAAACGACCGTGCAAATTCTCAGGTTGTCTTTGAGAGGTTAATTCAAGAAACCCAGTTTTGGGATTTTTCTCTGATTAAGCGACCACAACCTGCTTTTTACAGAAAAAATTTATGGATTTTGGAAAATCTTTTGACACTTTTTTAAAACTGTTGACCGTTTTTTCGAATTTTTTTGATTTTTCTTAAAATTTACGAAATCAAATCTGAGATGAAAAGTCAATTGAATGAACTGGTTGCAATAATTGTTCCAGCAGAAGCGGTGGTTCCTTCATTTTTTGCAAGAGAAAGGTTATCTTGAGAAAATTGATAATCTCAAAAAAAAAATTATTCTTTTCTTTTATTTTAGTAGAGAAACAACTAAGGTTTTGGGCTTAGTCCAATTTTTGAAATCACATGGATCGTACCGGATCAGTGTAGCAAGTTCATTCATTACTAAGCTTGTACCTCCATCTTTAAATGGGTCCCTAGTTGTTTTTGATCGAGATACACTAAAATTTTGATTCGCCCAGTCTGAACATTCAAAAAAAACTTTTTTATGATCGTATTGTATCGTTTTTATGTTTCTGTTGTACTGTTTTTTTTATGTTTGTGTATATCGCAAGTGGTGCGAAGGTCAGCTTCGCCTCTGCGTAAGACAGCCAATTCTCGGAGCGCTTATTCGTACGTACGAATGAAAAGCTTAGAGTGGCATCAGAAATGAGGGTTTTCACCATGAAACTGTAAATCATAGCCAAAACTTTGTCGACCCGCTTAGTTTGTGCCATACGAACAGTATCGAATCTAAGTGGCGAAATGCAAAATAAGCGTCATTGTGGAACGAGTTGCGCCCAAGTGGATTCGTATCTAGTCGAATTTATGTGGAGAGAGCGTCAAAACGTAAAAAACTGTAATCCATTAGCCCAAATTATAAAAAAAACTGCTCATTTTCGACCGACCCCATGAGCTTGCTTTCTATATTATTTAATAACTGAGTTAATTATATGTTGGTTTTGAGTTTTGCTTTTAATTTGAAATTTCTGACTACTTTCTTTTTGGGCGGTTTAGGTCATAAAATCCTCAAATTCTTGCAAATTTCTATCTTAAATTTTGTAAGAACTGTGAAGGATCCTTTTCATCTGTTTTTAGCCAAATTTGACGGCAAAGTTTTTATATTAGGAGTTAATTATTTCGATATTCTTTAGATCATCTTTGAAATGGAATTATGTGATCATGATAGCGGCTCTTAAACGTACAGCACTCGTCTTCATAAGTGCCTGTCTGGTATCAGTTATTTCTAAGTCTATTTTCATTTACCGGGATCGGAATAGGTTAATTCGTCAATTTTGTGCAGTGTGCAGAATTGTCAATTGTACTCAATTTCAATTCGAATCTCCCGAACGAACGTTACCTTTTTGAAATATCTTTTGGGAATAAAGACGAGAGATAATTCAAAATTACATTAGTGCTAGTTTAATATGTATCGTATGAATTTTTGTGGCCTTTCATGAATTTTTGTGACCAATGCTGTCAATTCAATTTTTGCTCAAATGTTAAATTAACTTGCCATAAACAGTTGCTCTTTTTGCTTAGTATTTGGTCAAAAGTGTAACTAGTGATAATATATTCGCCAATTTCCGGTTTTTTTTCTTCATTTTCTTGGTTCTTTTTCGCCTCTCTAACTCTCTGGAGAGTCAAGTCGTAAGCAGCTACTACCTGATAGTAATTTCGGCATAGCGCATAGCGGTAAGTTGTATATATTTCAGACCTGCTTTCTTCTTTTCACTTTAGAGGAGTAGCTAAAACTGTTCTAAATTGGGACGAGCTGTGATTGAAATAGTGATTCTGCTACTTTAATTCCCTTTTACCGGTTCCTGTCTACTACCATAACCGAACTACTTCTTAATACTAGCAAAGGATAAATCCCTTCAAGGAAAAAGGAAATAAATAAATGAGAGGTAGTGTTGCTCTTTTAGCTTTAAACGTGCTCCGACCAAAGAAGTAAATAATATTAAGTTTTGCGGACTAAAAGAGAAAGTTGTTTACTTTTACTTGTTTTGCCATGGTATGGTATGGAAGCTGTTGTGTGTGTTCTGCTACAGAACCAGTAGGCTTAATGTCAGGGACACCCCTTGAATATTCCCTCATTGCTTCCTGAATACATAGTGTGTCTGCGTATACAAATGCAAGGACTGAATGATTGTGTTGTTTAGCTGAGCTCTGTCTATTTATCATTCTGAAATCCTGCCCTGTTTCACTTTTTCATGCACAATGCCGCAGACAGCGCCGCCGCCACGTAATGCAACCGTAACGCAACCTCATTTATGCCGAAAACACTATTTGTAGCTAAATTTAACCCCTGCCTGTTAATCTGTGTCAAGAAGGCTTTGTTGAAAATCTGCGAGAAATGCATAAAAATGCAGTTTATGACCCAGTAAATTAAAAATAAATCAATAATTGATGTTCTAATTTACATATTCCAAAAATATGGAGCAATAAAAACAATCTGATTGTCAAACTCATGGTTTTGGAGGGTTTCAAGTGAACCAGCTCCAACATAGTTTAGGCAATGAAATTAGATTGAATAGTTGTTATTTGTGTGTGTGTGTGTTTCAGAAGATCATCGCGGGCAAGTCCTACTACCTGGCCAAAGAGATAGTGTCGACTGAGAGGACGTACCTGAAGGACCTCGAGGTCATCACTGTGGTGAGTGGAAAATAAATTTTTGCCGCAAAATTTATTAACATCGAGGAGCTATTGACTCAAAGTGACTTATACCTCGGTCAATTCTTTTAGCTCATATAGATATTTGTATCAGACCTGAAACGAAATAATTTCGGGGGGTGGCACTTCTTTCCGTCACGGATTTGAACCCCTAGCCCTCACTACCTAAAGCTTCCCCCTTTGGAAATGATTTACGACATACTTTCTTGCCCTCCGACCCTAAAATTTTCCTAAAGCGCCAATATGTACCAATTTTGAGGAGCACGCGCCCAAAAAATGCGATTTTTGTGTCAAACTTTAAGAAAAACTCCCAAATTTGCTTACGGCGAAGAAAGTTTTTTCAAGCTAGAATCCTTATGGTGTTTTCAGAGTGCGCGGAAGATCGATCTAAAAAGTCAACACATTTTTTTGAAAATGCGCCCCTCGAGAAAATCCTAGATCTGCCCTTGATATGGGTAGAATTGAGTTGTGTTTTGTGTAGGGGTTCCGTAAGGCTGTGCAGAGCAGTGGCAGTATGGCTGGTATAAGTGAGCTCAACTTCTTCAACTGCTTCTCGGACATCGCCGACTGCCACTCCTTCTTCCTCAAAGAGATCGAGAACAGAATCAACATTTGGTACACAATACTCACACATTCTATCTCAATACTCAGCAAATCAATACTCACACACATTGTACTTTCCACGCATTTGTTCAATAAAAAGGGGCCAGAAGCTCAGATTTTGGTCTTTTATCAAAGTATTGGACGATAATTTGCTTGTTTTTGGCAAGCGTTACACACTAGTACATATGTGTGTATGGACGCTGTTGACACTTCAATAAAGAGAGGCTCGGCTATCGAATATTGATATAGTTCAATAATATCTGGTGACGAATTGTGACGAAGAGGTGGCCACTCTTCCCCCTTTTTAATCCGCCACCGAAACTACACTTCATTTTTCAAAGCCTTTTCTATACAACGTCACGTGGTTTTTAATTGACAATAGTCAGGAAAATGGAACCCTCTAATTACGTCTTAATGATACCTGATCCCATAGAATGATTTTATTATAATTGGCTGTGATTAAAGATAGCTCACGCTCTACAAGAGTAACTTGGAATGGATGCCCGATTTTCCCCGCCAATGAACGTCGGAGTCTTTTTCTGTTACACTCCGCACCTCATTTTACATTGACCTCTATGGCCCTCAATCTTTGATTCTAGGCCGTTAAAACAATACGTAGATGGCAATGAACTGAGCAATGTTATTTTTTGTTCACTCTCCTCTTCTGTTTGACGCAAGAACAAAATGTAAACAAATCTTCATTTTAGTACAATGCGGGGGGTAACAGAAGTACCTAATGTGAAATGCAAAATGTCTAATGTGGTTTTCGTGTGGTTCCAGGGACGGTGGTTCTAAGAGCACCAATGCGCCTCTGAAGGGGGATTACCAGAGAGTGGGAGACATCCTCATGCGACATGTCAAAAATATATCCGTGAGATCATTCACCCCCTTACTCAATCTTTTCCCTAATCCATCTTTACTCTCCCTGTTTGGTTTGGTCGATGATACAGTAAGACCTTATTTCGAAGCATGATATGTTTAAAAAAAAACTGAACAATACAAGCTTTTTATTTTGGAAATCTTAGTTTAAACCATAGGCTGTAAACGTAACATCAATTAACAGAAGTCAGGACATCACAGTGACGTTTCTTAAAATTAAATCTAATAACTTTTACTAAAAGGAAACATAAAATGTTATTGTTTTAATAAATTAAAATTTGAAACATGATCATCCAAGAATCTCATCTTATCATCAAATGAAAGACAATATTTCTGAGACTGGTTTTCAAAATGCAAGCACTGTTTTTTGTTCAGGCTCCCTATGAGTTGTTCTTGTCTCGCCAAGTGGAAATAATGGCCGAACTGGAATCGAATGTAGAGAGATCAGCCAAGTTTGAGGAGTGCTTCAAGGAGTTCGAACAGCAGAAGATTTGCTACCTGCCCTTCACCGCTTTTCTACTCAAGCCATCGCAGAGACTACTCCATTATGAGTTCATGATGAAGAAACTGCTGCAGTTTTACCCCCCTGAGCACAGGGATTATGCCGAGTGCAAAATGGCAATGGAATATTTGACTCCGTTGATTCAACTGACCAATTCGTCTCTCGTGCAAATGGTAAGATCGATGAGTCATCACTTTGATGAAATTTCTGATGTACCAATTGGTCCATTTTCTGTATCATATCATTACAGTTTAACGAATTTCCAATGATTCAGGTTTTATGAAGCAAGGTGGGCGTTAGAAAAAAATCATGTAGTGCATCTTTGAAATCTTAGAATTTTTGACGATAGAATCAATCGTACAAAAGTTCTGTGAGTATTCTAAGATGAAAGAAATAGTTTCGAAATAATACAAGCTAACAGACAATTAATTGGTACTAAAGGAATACAGAATATCTATCAGCGAGCATAAATTCGCAATGACATTGATTGTCAAGTTACTCAAGCAAGGTATATTTATTGATTAGGAGATGACTAGTTTAAAGCTCAAACAAAAAGGTTAAATTTTTTCTTTTTAGAATTTAACTCTTTGAAAAAAGATGCAGCTCATGATTTTTTTAGAAAGTTATCTCCACTCTGAAACTCGACGTTTCAAATTGAGTTTGATTGCGTTTAATACTTTTGTATTCGTATTGATATGCCCCACCAGCATTTGAGATTTTGAGCTGTTTAAGTTGATGAGAAATTGATCGTGTCTATCTGATGTGTATTTGCAGGAGCACAATCAGAAACTAGCAGAACTGCAACGAGACCTGTTAGGAGTGAAGAACCTGCAGAGCGAGGACAGGAGACTGGTGCGGGAGGGGTCTCTGTACAAGCAGAGCAAGAGCAGGAACAGATACCAGCAGAGGATGTTCTTCCTCTTCTCCGACACTCTCCTCTACAGCAGTCTGGGAGTCACTTCCACCAACCAGTTCAGAGTGCATGGCAGGATAGACCTCATCAATTGCAGTGTGAGTGTACAGCTACAGACACGGGGCATAGAAGTTGCATTTTTTAGTTTTCAAGCGATGAAATGAACGAAAATCCGTTCACGTTTCTGCCGTATTCGCTACTACTACAAAATATTCATGGTAGAAATTTCGACATATGAAGGATGAGAAACTGTTTGTTTACACAAGCAAAGCTTGTATGATAGTATGAACTCTCTTTTTTTTCCAACCTAAATCGCAAATATTAGTGTTTATTTTGAATGTGTTCTGTTATTGCAGTATGTGCATAAGATCAATAACCAGCTATTAAGTACAGCCAATGCTAAGGATATTAACACAGAATGTTATAATACAAATAACATTTTAGCTTCAAGGTATCATGGATCTCTAGCGTAGGGAGGTAAGGTAGGGAAGGAGAAATGCAACAAAATAAGAGGGTTTGAACCTAGGCAGGGTCGTATGTTTAAATGAACTTTTTCGTATACTAGTTAAAATGCGTCCGCTCTATAAATTGCGGCATGTTAGTTGGTAAATTTCTTGTTTTTTCAAATTGACTGGTAAATTTCTTGTTTTTTCAAATTGACTGGTACTGCTAATGCGTCTTAATTGGCTTGCGTCCCCTAGCAATTATTCAGACTCATAATTGGCGTGCGTCACTTAAGAAATTATGAAGACTCAAAGGGTTACTCATTCAGTCTTTCCCAGTAGCGCTATCGGTCATTTCTGCTTGTGTATGTGAAGTGCAACTTCGCCTCTGCGTAGAATATAGCAGGATGAAAAAACCTATAAAAATTGTCCCAAGGGGTCCTCTTTGGCCATTTAATTAGAGGGCGTCAGAGAAAATCCCCGTAAACAGCCGAAGCAGTTGAAACGTTGGACTTCAAAAGTTTTCGTTGAAAAACTATGGACCTAAGCTAGTCATCCATGTAGGTGTACCTTCACATAAGTAAGAACTAAAACCTTTGTTAAGCTCTTAGACAGTAAAATGCCGAAATCTGAGTTAATTTTTATTTCATAGCTGAATTGTTTTTGTATTCTTTTGAAGCTAGGGGAAAACTAATATGAGAGCCTATCTTAAATATAAGCTTTCCCAAGAATTTTTTAAGTCCAAAGTTTCAAAATGCTTCTGTTCTCTCATTAAATGGCAAAACGACTATTTGAAAACCACTTTTCACAGTTTATTCATCGGGCTATAATCTAATAAACAGGTTCACCCAGTTTATAGCGCAAGCTAGTTGTAGCAAGCGTTGTGTAATAAATAGTACGGCTATTCTTTTTTCCCCACCCTAAGTCGCAAATTTTAGTGCCTTTTTTGATAGCACCTTTATGGATTTCGGATAGCATGTGCTTTGACATCCTATTAGTAATAAGTAAACACTGTTAATGCGTTTTTAACTCATCAAGTCAACCGAAAAAGCTAATGGTTTTAAACAACAGTACAATAATTAAAACTATATTTCGTAAAACCTCCGACTCAAAATATCTCGCAGTTTTTTGAAATGCCTAATTGAAACATAATTTGGCTCTTTGCTGCCCATTTTTTTACATGCAAAGTTACTGTGGATGCCTTTAGTGCCCTATACTCAGAGTTATTACCGGCAAAACTTGTGTCTATTTATATTGGTGGGACTTTTGCTGCATAGCATTGGCAATTTAGCTGCTTTATTGGTGGCTAGTGTTTAAGAGTCGATGAACGTAGTTGAGACTCTTATATAGTTCGCGATGATTTTTTCAGGAAGTCTTAAATTTTTTACAGGCTCAAACTTCTTTTTTCGCGGTTCGACTTATGATTTCTTTTTAAGTTCAGTTCATTTCCATTGTTAAACACATCAAACAACGAAAGTGTAAATGTCAAGAAAAACGTGGTCGACTTACTTCTAGTTTCGAAAGTGGAATTTATTTATCGAATTTACCAGCGAAATGAAATTTTACCCATTGATCCAGTTTTCTCAAGTTGGGCTAAATTTATCAAAAAAAGTGTCAATCATTAGGTGTTCTAAAAATTCAAAGAGTTGTAAGGTCATCTAAGTTCGAAAGCTGAGATTTTTTCAAAAAATTAAGTCCATATAATTTTTTTTACTTGCGTTCATTGACTCTTTTCTACCTGTCTGTCTGTCGGCTATGTTACCAAATTTTCAAGGGACCCTGGAGTAGATGCGAGAGTCAGCAAAAGTTTTCATTTTCAAGGCTTAATTTTACGTTTTCCTTTTTTTTTTTTACTGTTAGTGTTTGTCGCCTTCTCGCTTGTTTGCGAAGCACAGCTTCGCCTCTGTGTGTCAAAATTTCAACTATGAATCTCCATTAGTTGACGGCAGAACGGTGAAATCGGCTGACCGGTGAGATAATTTTCATTCATTTCATCGATTGAAAACTAAAAGTTGCAAATCGTGACTGTTGTTAGAACTAATGAGTGTCCAATTTTTGCTCGTAAAGACTTCACAAAGTTGTCAGCTTGTCGAAGACACCTCAGAATTTTCCATGGCAGGCGTCCTTGAAATGATAAATTGTTTTTAGGCTAGTTTGAATAAGTTCAGGAATGTTTTTAAATTGCAATCAGAAAATTAATAAATTGGTGACACGTGACATAATTACAGCAATATCATTCAACGTCAATGCTCATCAAGCGAGTTAAAGCGAATAGCGACTTAAGGGTTTCTTTTTATGGTGTTCCATCTCTGTTGCTAGTTATTGTACCATTTATTGATTTACTTTCGGGATGTTTTTGATGAGATAATTGTAAAATTTTCCTATGAGTTTAGCTCTTGAAATCAATGTGATCCTCTCTTTAAGGTCTCTGAAGAAGGTGACGCAGACAATGCTTTCACATTCACTCTGTACTTCAAAGCGGACTCGAGTGTAGTCCTCGCCGCCAGTTCAGAGAAAGAAAGAGACCTCTGGATCAACGATCTCAGAGACTCCATCCAGCACTGCAGCGAAAACAACATAATGCCTCAATCACTAGTCATAGACTCATCAGTGACTGGCGATGGGGCTAAAATGGGTGGGGGTATCCACTCGCCACGTGAGGGGGGACAAGGAATTGAGGGGGGTATGGCCAGTGAGACTCAGGAGTCGGAGGAGGAGGGTCCGAGTAGCAGTGGACCTGACAAGGTGTCCTATCATCGTTCTAATACGACGATGCATGTGTGCTGGCACCGACAGACTAGTGTGTCGATGAATGATCACATCAAGAGTGTCCATGTAAGTCAACCTCATTCATCATCTCTGTATTACAGAGAAATGTTTTTTCATCTCTGCGTTTTATATTTTCACTGTTTTCTAAACTTTTATACAACGTTTCAAGTCCAATTTTGATTGCAGGTTACTGTGTTTAGTCATTTTATTGTTAGCTTGAATTGAGGATCCCTCGATGAGTTTATTTAAATTTGGCAGAAATTTGATAGATGTACCGTAAAATACTCGGTAACTGGTGGATTTGGTTCCCACCATAAGTTAGTGTTTGTTGAGGGTGTGACTGTATGTTTTAGAACCAGTTGAGTGGCTATCTGTTGAGGAAGTTCAAGAACAGCAACGGGTGGCAGAAACTGTGGGTCGTATTCACCAACTTCTGCCTCTTCTTCTATAAAACATACCATGTGAGTCTTCCTCGAAAAATACTGTATAAACTAGGGTGTATAGATCTGAAGCTTATCTAACTAATCTCAGCGTGTGCTATTCAGGGCAACTGTTAGTAGACCCTCATGCTTTTGTTAGTTGTCCTTTTCGATGAGTACTTTTTGATGAATTTATTTTATATTCTGTCAATGAATGTATTTAACTATCCGAAAAATGATTTTCTTTTTCTTTAGCTGCTCTCTGGATTCAATAAAAAGAGATCAAATAATTCAGAACTGATTTCGGAGGATCTAAATGTTTATTTTTTTCCAAATCTTAAAGATCAGTTCTGTTTGACAAATATGGTATTTATGTGGGAAAAATGTAAGTAGTTCCGTGTTTTTTACTAAGTTTGTCTCATAAGCAAATGTCTCAAAACTTTATGCACCGACTTTGTTGATTAGTTAATTTGATTTACAGGATGATTTCCCCCTGGCCAGTCTGCCCCTGTTGGGATATTCTATCACGATGCCAGAGGCAGCAGACAACATCCAGAAGGACTACGTGTTCAAACTCCAGTTCAAAACACACGTCTACTTCTTCCGAGCCGAGAGCCAGTACACATTCAACAGATGGCTAGAAGTCATCGGCTGCGCCACCAACTCATAAACAAACTATCAAACCAATGAAAAGCAACTAAAACAGAAATTGAGAAAATAAATTCTCCTCAAAGTGAGTCTTTCGAAAAAAAGCAAATACGAACCTCTTAACTCCTAATTTTGTATTGTGTTGTAGATAAAATTAAGTTTGTATTGCATTGGATGAATTATGTTGAAGCCATCGTCTAAATTATTTCCTTTTTTTAAACAAGTTATATCGTATTTTTTGATGTTTTGTTTGTCCTCCGATATCTGCTGCGCTGCTTACTTATTTGTCAGTAATTTGTTGTTTTTCGTAAGGGTATTGTTTTTAATTGACACGACTGTTTCTTTGGTAGACAGACAATAAGTCGTATATAAGACGTAGTCTATGTCCATCCAACCCATTGTCAGTGTTTTCGTACATTATTTTCTAGAAACAAATCTGAATTATCGCCAATTCGTGTGTTGTTGAAGAACCCAATAAAACAATTAATATTTAATTTTGTTGATACATCATACCTTCAAGATTATTAAGATGATTTTGGTGCTAAAACTTGTCTGATGATAAGAAAATCTGAAAGTTGCGAGTTTTAATCAATGTAAATGTTAACTCAAGAAAAGCGTCCAAACGAAACCCGAGTTTTTTCTTTTCTGATAATGTTTTAGATGTTTTTTTTTAATTGAGAGCAGTAATTAACGTTTAGATTAGTTTCATTTTTATAGATTTGCATAACTTCAAGTTACTGTTTTGTCTCATGGGTTTGTCAGTTTAAGTTTTGTAATGAAATTTCAATTTGTATTCAAATAAATGATTTAAAAATTCCCTTGCCAAAGACTGAATATTTTATTATAACGTTGATGCACAAATTTTCAAAGTAAAAGTCATAAAGGGGCTATTGTATGTTTTAAAGCTCTGGTTTCATGCGAGATCTTTGTCCAGATTTTGAATTAAAGTTTTATTAACAACTTTCATCCAATAACTTAGTTACGCTTGCGAGCGTTAGTGTATTAGTACAAACCTTTTTTCTAACCTAACTCGCAAATAAAACTGTTCATTATTTGGTGGCAAAGTGGTCATTATTTTGTGGCCTTTTTGCTATAATCACGATTTGTAGCATTGGAAATTTCATAGCATCAGCTCGCTGCTTTATTTGAGGCTAGTGTTTGTGCTTAATTCTCTAGGTCGTCGAATCCGAGACCTAGCCGAATGTTTAGAAATCGCGGCTTATTCTTATTTTTAGTGCACTTTTTAGAGCTGATTTTTGTCGTGTTCTTGCTATTGTTTGCGAAGCGTAATTTCGCCTTCGTGTTATAAGATAGAGCTTTGAAGTGTTCGTGAATTAAGTTAATTTCGACATTTATTTGTATAGGTAGTTGGTAATTTACTTTTTTTTCCAGGAAGTGTTTTGATAAAAATTTAGCGAATTTTGGCCTCAATTGATATCAATAAACGTAAGGTTTCTATTGTTCGTGTTTAAGAGTAATGAACATAGTGAGTGCTCTTAAATAGTTCGTGCTTATTTTTTTTTGTTTTTTTTTTTCAGGAAACTTTCACGCTCAATTTTGATTTTTCGCGGTTTGACGTGTGATTTTTTTAAAAGTGCATTTCCATTGTCAAAAGGAAGGCAAACTCCACTATCGAACAGCAAAAATAAAAAGGTCATGAAAAATGTGATTGACTTCTTATTTCGAAAATGGAAATTAATTATCAGATTTCCCGGTGAAATAAAAGTTTTACCTATTGATCCAGTTTTCTCCAATTGGGTTAATTGCAACAAAAAATTAACCATTATAAATTGTTTTGAAAATTCAAAGAGCTTTAAAACCATCTAATTTTTAAATCGAAATTCAAAACTTGAATATTTTTGAAGAAATAAGTCAGTTTCTGTTTCAGTTTCCTTGCGTTTATTACTCTTTTCCAACTGTCACTTGGCTATGTTTATTAAGAGTCAATGAACGTAGTGGAGACATTTTTATAGTTCTTGATAACTTTTTTCAGTAAAAGTAAATTTGATTTAATTAAAGTTTGGCTTTCTCCCTGTTTGATTTTTGGTTTCTGTTGAAGTACAAATCATCTCTTTTGTTAAAGGAACGCAAACTCAACTATCGAACAGCAAGAATGTAAAGATCAAGAATAACGTGATCGACTTTTAGTTTCGAAAGTGGATTTTGATTCTTAGATTACCCAGCTGAATGAAAAGTTTATTAATCCAGTATTCTCAAATTGAATTACTTATATCAATAAAAAATCGATCATAAGAGATTTAAGGCTATACAAAAAGTTTATTTTCAGATCAACTAATGTACACCCAATTTTATCGGTTTAGTTTCTCATTCATGAATTTTATTCAAATGTCTAGCAACTGTTCTAACTCTCCTTCTCGACATGCTGTTCCTCAAAATAAACATCATATGAGACAAACTTAGTAAAGTTTCGGTAGACCTAGTTTTCGATATTTTTAGCCATTCATCTCCTGCTTTGAACACGAAGCAAATCAGTTAAACATTTTCACATTAATTTCGTTTCAATTGTTGTGAACAACCAAACGTTACCCACTTTTTTATCGGACGTTATGAAAAAAACCTTATCCAGTTATTTGATATCTCAGAATTTGTCAAAAACTGTTAGGGAGCGATCTATTGCTGCTTGAATCGTTCCAAAATTTCAATTTCTTTGGCTTCTATATTTTAGCCAAAAATAATCAACACCGTACACTTCCAACCATTGGAAACCTAATCAAATTAAAACCCTTTTATCATAGCGCATTTTTCGTTTATGACCGTTTAAAAGAAAAAAATGAAAGAACATATTTCAAATTTGACACCAGTAATATCAAAATTTGAAGCGAGAAAAAATTGTGGTCTTTTAACTTAAGACAGTTAAGCGCTACTTTATGCCAATATTTTTTCAACAAACATTGTGTTGTAATTTTTTTTGATCTAAAGCGAATGAATATATGAAACAATGAAACTTTGAAAGAATTTAAATTGCTCTGAAAAAAACTAAAAGAAAATGACTAAATTGGAACATGGTTGAAATAATGTAATTATTTAGAGAATTCGATCAAATTGTCATCAATTTTTTCAATGACCTTGTGTGCTTCGATTAACTAAACAGAAAACTTTTTCAATGAAAGAGCTAACTAATGCTCTCAATTTTTGAATAAATATTCTGTTTCAATATTTTTGACCTCGTGCGAATCAGCATCTTTGACTGAATTCTAAAGGTTCTGCAAATGATTTAAATAATAATGACTAAAACTCTGCGCAACACATTGGAATGGACAAATAAAAAAGGGGTTGAAATGATGTAATTAATTCGATTTAAAATTTTATCGTACAAGGATCCAATGTCTTTAATAACGAAAATAAAGTTAAATTAAAAGAGCTACAAAACGATTGTTGTTCAGATGTTTTTGAGTTTTTGGCCGAAAACAACTCTCGAAGGGTTTGTCAACACCCAATCCCATCCTAGCGTCTCATTATATTGACATGTCTTTGGATTAAGTTGCTAGTAGATGGTTTTTATAAGGCAAGTCAAAATATTGCAGTTAGTACGTTCATCAGGAGTCTGCCTACATTTTTTAAACAAATAAGCAGTTAAGTATTTTAATTTCGACAATTCCAAAAAACATTAAAAAACAAAATGAACATGACTGAGTTTTTAAAACGATGAAACCCCTATGTATTATCAGTTTTATGAGTCTGATAATCAGTTTTATGAAGAAGGAAAAAAATCAAATTTTTCAATGAAGCCTATTTTTGGAGCTTTCGAATAGCCGTCCATAGGTTGTGCTAAAATAACTTTGGCTACTAAATATTTTTAATTGCTGGGGTTCAGGATTCTTGCCAAACCACTCAGTGTCGAACTTCTTATTTCTAGAAAAACAAAGCTTGTAGGTAAAACCTCTTTTTTTGAATTCAACTAACAAAACAGAAATTATTTTTAATATAATAGTTAGCACATGATTGAACTCTCAACCATCTCCAAGTCAAAATTCTGACATTTTAAAAAAAAATATGAGACTTGCTCAAAAAGCAGCCTAATAAATGCGTATTACGCCAAATTTTTTGCCAAAAGATTAGAAAGCTAATTGCTCGAAGGTTAGTAACACAGTTATTAGGTCCTGTACGGGAGAAAAGCTTAGATACACCAGCGGATTTAAAAGGGGCGTCCCCCTCCGCTCAGGGATTTGACCCCTGCCGACCCATAGGGTCCCCTCTTTGTACTATTTTAAGATATCAATTTTTGGGTTACGGACCCTAAAATTTTCAAAAGGCGACTTCAGCGCCAATATATACTAATTTCGAGGGGGGAGCGCGCGCCGAAAAAAATGTGATTTTTCGGTCGAAGTTTTCCAAAAAGTGCCCAAAAATATCTTTTTCACTATCAAATCTCTCGAAGATTTTGATAAAATGGGTCTTTTAAAACTGCAGGCTGCAGGGACAACGAACAAGTAGTGTCCCTTTTTCTGGGTTCCAGCAGTTGTTGTTTAAAGATTTTCTATAGCGAGCAGTGCAGGCTAGGTGGTTCGATTGTTAATAACGGGAAATAGGACATTGGCAACGGCAGTTATAGTTGTTCCTTTTCGCTGATTTTTCAAAGACATTTCTTACATAATTATTTTCAGAAAAGCCATTTTTGTGCTCGCAACATGGTATAGGCGGTCATCATTTTCTGATACTTCTGTTGCGCGACACTGTGTTTGATATTTCATGCAGACTTGTTTCAGTAAATTACACATGATTCTGTAAATTACTAAATGTCACACACACTGTTAAATCATACAATACTTAGTTTAAAAAGTTGATTTTCAGGACACCCAGAATTTTTGTTGGGCAAAATGTCGGGAGCTAAATCCTGCAATTTAAAACTTGCAATCTTGCAAATTTTAAATGAAGGACTAAGAGAACTTATTTAATTCCCATCAAGGACGCCCCCTCTCAGGGTTTCGACCCCCTGCCGACCCAAAGGGTCCCCCCTTGTACTATTTTGAGATGTCCATATTTAATGACGGACCCTAAAAAATTTCTAAAGGCGCCTTAGGCGCCAATATAAACTAATTTCAAGGGGGGAGCGTGCGCCGAAAAAGTGTGATTTATCGGTCGAAGTTTTCCAAAAAGTGCCCAAAAACGCTTTTTTGGCCTGTTTTTTGAAAAAGTTGCCTGCGGCGCACACAATTTGGTCAATATAGGTCAATATGGTCAGACAATTTTTTTTGTCTTTATAGTGATTTGGGAGAGCTCAGAAAATCAATTTGGTCTACCTAAAAAAAGGTCGAAAAAAATTTCAAATTTTTTTTTAAAATCCGGCCCCCTCGATAAATTCCTAGATTCGCACCTGCTTGAACGTGAACCAATGGAAAACGAAACTGTGAATTACTTAAAATACAAAAAGTTCCTAAAAAACGCAAACTTTCCAAATAATGCCTAAAACGCGCTTTTCGGCCTGTTTTTTCAAAAATTTGCCTGCGGCGCAGAAAATTTGGTCAAAAAAGGGTCTTTATAGTGATCTGTGAATGCTCAGAAAATCAGTTGTATTGATCTAAAAAAGGTCGACAAAATTTTCGAAAATTTTTGAAAATCCGCCCCCCCCCCCCCCCTCGAGAAAATCCTAGATAGATCCACCCCTGTTCATAACCATGTTTTTCAACACGTAAGCAGCAAGAAATTGCACCAACTTTTTTTGGTCTAAGCAATATCTGTGTTTCTAACACGTAGTAAAATTGGGAGGAACTTCGAACTGACTTATTTTTTCAAGCAGAATTACACATGTTAGTTAAAATTCAAGCTGGTTAAGGGATTTTCTATTTCGAGGCCATTTAGTCGTAGTTTGAGCTGCAATAAAAAGATACATTTTACTGCGGTGTCAAGAAAAAATTGTAATTTTCGCTTTTGTATTGTAATTATGAAAAATCGTCAGACGCCATGCGCCATAAAATAGTTTTATTATCTTATGCGTCCATAACCAATAAGATACCACTGGGTAAAATCGCGGGCTTGACCATTTCAATATTCGATTTTTTTTAGTATGAAGTCTCGTTTTTCCAACCTAAGTCGCAAATATTAATGTTCATTTTGAAAGTGTTCATTTTGATGAAAAACCAGCTATTGATAACAGCCAATGTTACGGATATTGACACAGACTATTATATAAGAAATAGCACTTTAGCTTTAAAATATCATGGATCTGTAGCGTAGAGGTAGGGAAGGAGACCCGAAATAAAATAAGAGGGTTCATACCTGGGCAGGGTCGGATTTTTTAATGAACTTTTTCGTATACTATACTTCCGCTCTATAAGTTGAGGAAGGTTAGTTGGTAAATTTCTTTTTTTTTTTCAAATTGACTGGTACTGCTCATAATTGGCGTGCATCCTTTA